CTGGACAATGGGATACTGGACAACCTGTCTGTAACAACCGTAATGGACGTCATAGCATCTCTGCTCATTGTAACAACCCAAACTGTGATACCACATTTTGTTGAAACAACAACACTGTGATAATCACACTGGTCTGAAACAACAACACTGAATGGACGTCACAGCACACTTGTGAACAACACACTGTAGATGGACACTGCAACACTGCTCTTGAACAACAAACACTGTGGACGCACAGCCATCTCTGTAACAACATAATCATGGGAGATGAGGACACTCGCACATTTTGTGAACACAAACACTGAGATGGTTCACCAGCAATCTCATCTTGTAAAAACAAACAGGGAGATAGGACACTGGCACATCTGGTCCTGTAACAACTAACACTGAGATGGGTCTCACCAGCACCCTGCTTGTAACAACAAACATGAAGATGGGACACGGGACATCCCTGGTCCTGTAACAACAAACACTAAAAGATGGGACGTCACCAGCACATCTCTGTCTTGCAAAACAAACACTGGAGATGGGACACTGGCACATCCCTGGTCCTGTAACAACAATACTGGAGATGGGACTCACAGCACATCTCTGTCTTGTAACACAAACACTGAAGATGGGACGTCACAGTACATCTCTGCCCCTGTAACAACAAACACTGAGATGGGACGTCACCAGCACATCTCTGCTCTTGTAACAACAAACACTGGAGATGGGACTCACTGTACATCCTGTCCTGTAACAACAAACACTGAGATGGGATGTCACCAGTACATCTCTGCTCTTGTAACAACAAACACTGGAGATGGGACCACGCACATCCCTGCTCTTGTAACAACAAACACTGAAGATGGGACGTCACCAGCACATCTCTGCTCTTGTAACAACAAACACTGGAGATGGGACACTGGCACATCCCTGGTCCTGTAACAACAAACACTGGAGATGGGACGTCACCAGCACATCTCTGCTCTTGTAACAACAAACACTGGAGATGGGACACTGGCACATCCCTGGTCCTGTAACAACTAACACGGGAAAGATGGGACGTCACCAGCACATCTCTGCTCTTGTAACAACAAACACTGGAGATGGGATACTGGCACATCTGTCCTGTAACACAACACTGAGATGGACTCACCAGAACATCTCTGCTCTTGTACACAACAGGAGATGGGACGTCACCAGTACATCTCTGCTCCTGTAACAACAAACACTGGAGATGGGACACTGTCACATCCCTGGTCCTGTAACAACAAACTGAAGATGGGACGTCACCCAGCACATCTCTGCTCTTGTAACAACAAACACTGAAGATGGGAGTCACTGTACATCTCTGCTCTTGTAACAACAAACACTGGAGATGGGACGTCACCAGCACATCTCTGCTCTTGTAACAACAAACACTGGAGATGGGACGCCCCATGCACATCCTGCTCCTGTAACAACAAACACTGAGATGGGATGTCACCAGCACATCTCTGCTCTTGTAACAACAAACACTGGAGATGGGACCACTGGCACATCCTGGTCCTGTAACAACAAACACTGGAGATGGGACGTCACAGCACATCTCTGCTCTTGTAACAACAAACACTGGAGATGGGACACTGGCACATCCCTGGTCCTGTAACAACAAACACTGAGATGGGACGTCACCAGCACATCTCTGCTCTTGTAACAACAAACACTGGAGATGGGACACTGTCACATCCCTGGTCCTGTAACAACTAATACTGGAGATGGGACGTCACCAGCACATCTCTGCTCTTGTAACAACCAAACACTGGAGATGGGATACTAGGACATCTCTGCTCCTGTAACAACAACACCGGGAGATGGGACGTCACCAGCACATCTCTGCTCTTGTAACACCAAACACTGGAGATGGGACGTCCCCAGTACATCTCTGCTCCTGTAACAACAAACACTGGAGATGGTGTCACGTACATCTCTGCTCCTGTAACAACAAACACTGAGATGGGACGTCATCAGCACATCTCTGCTCTGTAACAACAAACACTGAGATGAGTGGCGTAACAACAATGGAGATGAATGGCACATCCCTGGTCTTGTAACAACTAACACTGGAGATGGGACGTCACCAGCACATCTCTGCTCTTGTAACAACAAACACTGGAGATGGGACACTGGCACATCCCTGGTCCTGTAACAACAAACACTGAAGATGGGACGTCACCAGCACATCTCTGCTCTTGTAACAACAAACACTGGAGATGGGAGTCACACATTTGTTTACTGGTGGGCACTGATCCCTGGTCCTGTAACAACTAACACTGGAGATGGGACGTCACCAGCACATCTCTGCTCTTGTAACAACAAACACTGGAGATGGGACACTGGCACATCCCTGGTCCTGTAACAACAAACACTGAAGATGGGACGTCACCAGCACATCTCTGCTCTTGTAACAACAAACACTGGAGATGGGACACTGGCACATCCCTGGTCCTGTAACAACTAATACTGGAGATGGGACGTCACCAGCACATCTCTGCTCTTGTAACACCAAACACTGGAGATGGGACGTCACCAGTACATCTCTGCTCCTGTAACAACAAACACTGGAGATGGGACGTCACCAGCACATCTCTGCTCTTGTAACACCAAACACTGGAGATGGGACGTCACCAGTACATCTCTGCTCCTGTAACAACAAACACTGGAGATGGGATGTCACCAGTACATCTCTGCTCCTGTAACAACAAACACTGGAGATGGGACGTCACCAGCACATCTCTGCTCCTGTAACAACAAACACTGGAGATGGGACGTCACCAGCACATCTCTGCTCTTGTAACAACAAACACTGGAGATGGGACACTGGCACATCCCTGGTCCTGTAACAACTAACACTGGAGATGGGACGTCACCAGCACATCTCTGCTCTTGTAACAACAAACACTGGATATGGGACACTGTCACATCCCTGGTCCTGTAACAACAAACACTGAAGATGGGACGTCACCAGCACATCTCTGCTCTTGTAACAACAAACACTGGAGATGGGACGTCACCAGCACATCTCTGCTCTTGTAACACCAAACACTGGAGATGGGACGTCACCAGTACATCTCTGCTCCTGTAACAACAAACACTGGAGATGGGATGTCACCAGCACATCTCTGCTCCTGTAAAAACAAACACTGGAGATGGGACGTCACCAGCACATCTCTGCTCTTGTAGCAACAAACACTGGAGATGGGACGTCACCGGTACATCTCTGCTCCTGTAACAACACTGGAGATGGGACGTCACCAGCACATCTCTGCTCCTGTAACAACAAACACTGGAGATGGGACGTCACCAGCACATCTCTGCTCTTGTAACAACAAACACTGGAGATGGGACGTCACCAGCACATCTCTGCTCTTGTAACTACGATCAAGTAATCACAGTCTCGCCAGGTTCCACAGTCTCAAGGGACAAACATTTCGCCCAATCAACAAGTTTTACCTCACCGAAGCAAAAACTTTTTCCTAATTTGCGATAGACGGGAACGAGACTCACCAAGGCTTAACTTGTCGAAGAAAAACGTAAATTCGAATCAAACATACGAAGCAACAAATCTTTTTTTTTGTGTGTGTTATTGGAAATCTCTTTTTTTTACATTTTTTTTTGTGCCTGTAGTAAAGGGAAAAGGAAAATGGTGAGATTTATACATGCCACGTTTATGGGAGCCAATTTTCAGTCACTCTCATCCCGATTTCTACCTGAAAAATGAAAATGTCGAGAACTTCCCTTTCATTTCCCGTGAATATTTCCTGGTGGCAGCGGAGTGTGATGGGAAATATTGGTGATGTGACAAGATGAGTGTTGAGCAGCAATATATGGGAGGTCGTCTGAATATTTATTCTTTGTTAAACTTGTAGGTCAAAATATTGTCTTATGTAAATAGTTTTCTTACTGTACTTGTCTGGTGGACTGGTGTGGTCCTGTGTGTGTGTGAAGTCACTTTTGTGAGTTTATAGGGATCGATCTACATCTCTTGGGCCCCGAGACAAGGCATAATGTTACATAGTTCCAAAAATCAACAACCTTCCTTCACACAGAAGGGAAAATATCAAAATTTGTTTTATTTATTTTTCTAGAGGGTAGCTCAATCCGCTAGGAACATAAAGCCGCTGAGGAACGGGAGGCATTCAGGTTCGATACAAAGAAAAGATAATTAGTTTTCCATGGATCAAGAGCCCCTTCCAGCATCAAGACACCTCCCTCGAAGGGGTGGCACAAGAGGCGTCAGCGTGAGAAGCCTTGGCGTCAAAAGCGACAGCATCAGGCCATTAACTGCAGCCTCAACCACGTCCATAATCCGTTCCATGACGTAAGGGATAAACTGCCGCAAATTTTAAGCAAAGGAGAACTTTCCATAGCAGCTCAGCCGAAAAAAAGATAGTGAAGGGAGATGAAGGGTGGGTCTTAGGGTTTATCCAGCAGTAACTATGTACCCAGATTTTAGTGGAGTGTTTTGGGTCGCATCCTCTAGAAAGCTAAGTATATCCGAGAGGGTTTCCAGCTATATAAAAAATTTTGAAAAAATTTTCTCTTGTTGAATGTGGGTTATTCTTATAAATTAACTAGCTAGAGTCTAGGCAGAATCGTTCTCTCGAATGGATTTTCCGGGATTTCTTACTCGTTTCTGCAACATTGCAAGCTCCTGATGACGTGTTGATTGCAACACGAAAGGCCTAGAGCTATCATTCTACTCCCACCCTTAGCTGTATATATATATATATATATATATATATATATATATATATATATATATTATATATATATATATATTAATATATATAATGTATATATATGTATATATATATATATATATATATATATATATACATTTATATATATATATATACAATATATATATATATATATATATATTATATATATTATATATAAATATATATATATATATATAAATATATATATATATATATATATATATATTAATAAATAAGGTAAGAGGTACTCACTGGCTTCTTGTCAAGTGCCACCCAGGTGAAGTAAAGTCTGTGAACGTCTGCTGGCACTGGCACTCTCCAGTTCATGGCATAATCGTTGACGACGCCCTCACGCACATAGTATAACTCCGCGGTCAACCCTGCAAAACAACAACACTGCGTCATTGCCACGGTAAATGCTTCTTCAGATTCAAGTAAAGGGATAAATAAAGATTAAAGCAAGGGATAATAAAAGGGAGGGAATACCAAAGTGTAAGAGAAAGAGGGGACAAAAAGGAGAAAAACAGTGAGAGGGATAGGACATTTGAGCAAAATTAGCTTTATCAGCATATGATAAGTACATAATGTATACAAAAATTGATGGTGAGTACATGTAAAAATGATATACATTCGCCTGAGCTGGTAGACTCCAGGAAGGTGATGAAAATGACGTCAGAATTTGCTTACTGGGTTCAGTAGTACGGTAACATCAAAGACTTCATTCCTGTAAGACTTGAGTGAGGGGATGAGGAAAGTGAGAAAAAGGGCGAAGGAGAGAAGAATGAAGGGAAAGGAGAAAATAGTACAGAAGAGGGGTGAAGAAGAAAATGGAAGGATGGGAAGAAGTGGGATAAGAGTGAGCAGGAAAGGAGAATGGAAAGGAGGGAGTGAGATAGAAGAGAGCGAATGAGATAAGAGTGGCAAGGACAGAGAGATACAGGAGAGAGTGAATGAGAAAAGAGTGGAAGGGAAGGAGAGGAAAACCTGTAAATTCACCAGTTTGATAATGTTTGGAGGATACAATCAAACTACCAGACTCGTGGTTAAGAATCCCCGCCTCTTAACCACCAGTCGACTAGTACGATTGAACTCGTGTTGAAGGAAACATCAGTCACTGACAAATGGGTATTTCAAGCAACGTTTAGCTCCACAAATGAGCTACTTCAGAGCTGCTTCAGGGGCAGCTCCTGTTCAGAGCCCACGTACGAAGTTTTTCCCCCACCTCGCCTACTGCATTCAGCATATTAAATTCCCTCACACTGAAGAAACGCTTTCTTATAACCCTCTGTACATCCTCGTGATCCCCTGCCTCTTAAGTTACTTCCATAAGAATTTAGGAAAGAAACCATGTCAGTGTTACGTGTGTTTACAGTTCTTGCAGGTTAGAAATTATATTAGTGTCACCATCGGTAGTATTTCTCTTATTCTGAAAGAAAATTGCAAAATAATGAAAATTGTTCTGTCTTTTGATGTTTTTAAATTTGATAGACTTGAATAGTTCTATCACAAAAAATAAAAAAAGAATCTCTAATACATTGTTATTTCTTTTCTCATTGTATTTATGATTTTTTACTACAACACAAGACTTTTGTTTGATATTTCAAGTATTTCATTGTTAGCTCCTGAAACCTAAATACAAGCACAGTGTACTGTGTCCTTAATGGGTCTGTGTTAAGTATATGCCGTTGAGAAAGCTTATAAGAAGATCAAACAGAATTAGAACGTAGGTTAATGTACTGAGAAAAATGGGTTATTGAACCGTTTAAGAGCGAGAATGTCACAGCGAAGAAAAGTCGATCTAAATCAGGAAAGTGTAGTTATAGAACAAAACTTAACATTCGTACCTGACGGAAGAAACACAGAGGGAACAAAAAAGCAACCCAGGGAATTGCAAGAAATCCTAAATAGTTCTTCACATATGCGAAAGTCAAGAACCACCTGTACAACTGGTCCATTACTCGAATATGATTCATACTCTGAAGATGGCAAGGAAATGAGCGAAATCTTAAAGGACTAATATGAATCAATGGGATTTGACTGGTGGATGTAGAAATCTTTTCATTAACCCCGGCCTGCCCTGAAAGCCATATAATCTAACTTATACAGTCATGCCATTGAATTCGAAACAGAAAACGACAACAAAACCTGGGCTGCATATTCATGAAGTTCCTTTTTATAAAGAAATGAAAAAAAATACCACTAGCACGAGCACTCACTATTCTATTGAGAAAATGCTTAGATACAGGTAAAATACCAGAAGACTTTACAAGGGCAGACGAAATTCCTCTTCAAAAAGGAGGCAGCAGACCACTGGGAAAATATTACAAGCCAGTAGCATAAACATCACACTTCAAAGTCTTTGAAAGGGTGATGAGACGCCAAGTTACAATCTTTATGGAAAAGCATGATCTGCAAAGTCCGAGTAAACATGGATTTATATCTGTCACATCTGCTGAACCATTACACGACAGGATTGCGGAGGCTCTGGAAGATAATCAAATGCAGATGTGGTCTACACAGATTTTGTTAAGGCATTTGACGAATGCGACTATGAAAATAAAATCAATTGGAAAACGGGAAAAGTAGGCAGATGGATATTAAATTTTCTGACAAATAAAGCTCTGTTGCTAATCCAGTACTTTCATTCATAAGACTATACAAAACACAAGAATTGAGGAATACCGTAGTACGCCTTCTGATCCGTGTTCCAGAGGTTTTGTTCACGACCAGGTATGAGCCAAGGATGGGGTGGGTACCTTCTATTTCTTTCAACAAGTGCTCTTCACAGGCAAGTGCTGTACAGAATTTACCTCCACTACACATTTTTATCACACTTCGACTAAGAAGCAGTGTCTAACCTGCCTAGCGACGCGCGTATCTAAGTATTCCCTCCTCCAGCATCCTTTCTCTCGTTCCTGTACATAATGTAAACAGATTCACCTCACTACTGGATGAATTTATTGATACGATCTGAACACTACGCCATCTACGTAACTCACATCTTTGATATCATCCATAACGCGCATGTATACGCCTATATACACTAATGTTTTTCATACACCGTGCGCAGACACGGGGCCAGGGGCCATGAATTGACCCCTGCAACCACAAATAGGTAAGTACATACAAACACACACATTACTACACATATACACACTATGCACACATTATACACGCTATGCACACACTATACACACACTATCACATACTATACGCACTATACAAATCCTACAAACACTATGCACACACACTATTACATACACAATAAACACACACTATGCACATACTATACACATACCATATACACACACACACATTACATGAAGGGTAACATGGTAAAATAAACAGACCTGATAAAGATAGCCACATGAGTGCAAGGCTAGTGAAGAGCTTTTGATCCAAGGAATTGGAGTTAACCGCCCCATCCCTTTCTGGACGTGTTTACACCTTCCCCCATAATAAAAATTTAATCAGAAGTTCTTCAGTACGGAAGATTTTTTTGGGTAATATTGTCATCGTGGAGGCGCGCTAAACCCTAAAGGAAGTCATACATAGCAGGGTAATGGGACGCAATAGGATCCAGTGTTGCGGAGGAAAGGTCCAATCCCTTGGATCTAGAGCCCTTCACCCACAAGAGGCGATATAGGTGAATACAAAGAGGAAGCACGTCTCTCTCGGCCTCAGCAGACGGAGGATCGAGCCTCCACCACATCTTAAACTGAATGGCCCACATGGGTTTAGAGCTAAATGTGAGTTAAATAAAAATAAAAATTCGCCCACAAGACTGATGGAAAGACAAAAAAAAAAAAGAGTTAAGGCTGGTGGCACTACTGTGGCCACACTGTATCCGTCAGTGTTACCAGATAAGGCGTAAAGGGGGGAGGGGAGCCATGTGTGGTGTGGAGTGGTACCTCAAGTATCTGGCAACACTTGACACACTCCTCGTGTAGATGGGGGATAAAATATACCCTCTAATAAATATTTTTTAATCTATTACATTAACACAGTATTGTTGAAGAGGAAGGCGACAGCCTTGGCATCTCGAACTGTTTTAATGAATACACAGATAACCCTCACATAGGAGAGAGGAGCTTACGACAACGTTTCGGTCCGACTTGGATCATTTACAAACGTCGTCGTAAGCTCATCTCTACTATGTGAGGGTTATCTATGTATTGTTCCAGTCACGAGCGGTATTGTGCCTTTTTTGTTCTTTGTCTCAGTGAGACTGGAACACAATTCTCTAATCAGATTTGCAGGAGTGATTTATATGAGTCTGACTGCTGGCACAGTGGCTTGCATTCTGACCTCTGCACGACCGACACCCCACCTCGAATCCTTGTAAAATGCACAAATTTCAAATCTTTCCTTTAACCTGGAATTTGGAGTAAAACAAAAAATACGCGTGATTAGGGAAGATTGGACTTGCGTAGAAGTCTTCTAGATAAAACTGGACAATTGCCAGATCAACCAGGCTGTGATGGACATGTTGGGCTGCGGGCCACCAACAGCAACAGCCTGGTTGACCAGGCAAGCATTGGACGAGCCTGGCCCATGGCCGGGCTCCGGGAGTAAAAAAAACTCTCGTAACCAATCATAGGTATATAAAACGTATGTTAAAGGTGCCAGAGGGAAAGAAGGAACCAGGTAATGTACCTGTGATATTTCAGCTGGAACTTAATATGGTTTACTGGTATAGGTCACCCCGGCGACCCGGTCCCAGAAGAGGCCTTCTAGTCGATAGACTGATCAATTGTGCTGTTATAGCTTGCGCAACGCATTCCAGTGTAAACATCAGAGCCCGACTGATCAGGGACTAACTTGAAGAACTTAACAAGTTCCCGCTGGAAAGAAGCTTGCTAATATAGATACATTAGTTATCGGTTAATGACTTCAGCGATCATCGCCTCTTCTACCCGGTCTCAAACCAGGCATCATAAACTGACAAAAATATTACAATTAAATGACCAAAAAAAAAAAATACAATCGTAAGATCCATTAAGAAGCACAGGAGAGTAAAATGTATATTGAAAATAAATAGAAGTTTGTAAGATTTGCTGCCCTCTTACGTGTTCATGGGACAGAGAACAGACCAGCCTTCCTTCTGTCCGAGTGTAAAACATTTAACAGAGTTCATTTTCACGCTCTTGACACAGTAGCGCCTCAGTCGATGTTGTTGCCTACCAACCCAGATGTCTGGGAGACCTCGGTTATAACACCGATAATAACTTCTCTTACCCCACCGCCTCTCCATCCTTCCCTGTCACTCCCTCTCTCCCTACTTTCCGCCTCTCTCTCTCTCTCTCTCTCTCTCTCTCTCTCTCTCTCTCCTGGTGGTGGATTATGATGACACATCATACGAGAAAACACGACGTTGTTT